TGAGATGGGAAGGCAGAGAGTTAGGAGCTGGTTGAATGTTCATGGGGAATCAGGGGTGGAGGGGAGGAGTGTGCTGTCACAGAACGGGGTGAGCAGTGGGGGTCTCATAACAATGTATGTAAAAAAAAATTCTGTATGGGAGACTAACTTGAAATGTAAACTCCATTTAATTACAACAATTAAAAAAAAATAAAGTGTAAAATTTGGTAGGTTTTCACATAAAAAATAAATTAAAAAACTGACAATTAACACTTACATGACAGTAGTAGTACAAATCATACTAAAAAATTCTTCCAGTCTTTAGAATACTCAGTGGTAATTCAGTGATGAAAAAGTAAGTAATCTAATGGAAGGTTGAGGGTTCCTTAAAACCATGTTTATTTTGCTTAGTCACATCTCAGGGTTATATGCACTTGAATACTTTAGTCTTATTATGAGTAACATTCTTTCTAAAAATGGGATATAGTGTTCAAATTTTACCAAATACTGGTACTATATAGTTATAAACCTTGCAAACTATTTTCCAGTGACAAATTATTTTTCCTACTCAAACCATCAAGTTGCTGCCTTTAATGAAAATTTTAATTTAGAGAAACTAAGACATATTGCTATGACAGCGTACTTCTAGTGAGTGTTTCATGTAATATAGGTAAGTAAAAAAATTTACAAATGTCTGGTTAAGTATAAATACTTATCTACATTAGGTAAATTCAGAGAATCCTAAAAGCCACTTACTTGATACCTTTGATACTACCAGGAAAGTGGATTTTAGAAATCTCTAAGTTTAGCTGTTATGGATAGGTTATTCGACTGAAATTCCATTGTCTGCTTACTTGAGCATTATTAACACACTACATTGTTCTTGTTAGGTGCTGATGGGTAGATTCCAACTAATAGCGACCTATAGGACAGAGTAGAACTGCCCCATAATGTTTCCTAGGCTGAAATCTTTACAGGAGCAGATTGCCAGGTCTTTTCTCCCACGGAGCTGCTGGTGGGTTCGAACTCAGGATAATGCACAAAACCAAACATTGTCACAGATTACAGAAGAGATCACTGTTATAGACAACTGGGGAAAAGTGTATTTGACAGATCCCTTTGTTTTTAGTAACATTTTAAACTTCTCTAATAAACATAATCTGAAACCTAAATAGATGTGCCAAGGGAGCCAAAGAGCTATAGCTAGTCTTCAGACATCCTAGGAGTTCACTTTATAGGACCACTCTTCCCGTGGGTCTGATGACACCCTAAGTTCTCTAGGCAGGAGTGAAAAGGACTTAGTAATACCAATTCCAAATACAAACATGAATGAGAGGTAGAAAACGGTAGGCATAAGCAAGATCTGGACACCAAATTTTTAGCTCAAAGATGATCATTTACTCATTAGCCATAATTTCAGCTTGATATACAGCTGATTTCCAGATAATAACCTAATTTTCCTTTCACACTACCTTATAAAGTTATTTAAGAAGTTTTATAGCATTTTGACTTTAATATTAACACAAAGGCTAAACAAATGGTGAACAAGCTTGGTTTCATTTACATAGGAAACAAAGAAAACCTACAATAAAAGTTTCAAATGTACTTTATTTCTTCAATAATGCCATATTTTAATGGGTACACAGTGCTTTTACTTGGCATCAATTATAAGTTGGTTTTGAAACAATTCAGTATTATACCACCAGTTGGTTTGATTACTGATCTCTCCATTCCTTCGGGGTGACTCTGCCAACAGGGGACAGGTTCCATTCTATTCCAATTTGTGTTGCTGTCTGTAAGAATTAAAATGTTGTCAGTTATACATGTTTAAACCAGAATCCACTATCCCGTGGAGTCTATTTCTTAAAAGTGAGAAAGATCTTCTGCCCTATAGGTTAAAAACACACAGAAACTCACCTGGGGTATAATGCCTTCCATGTAGTCCAAACCTAATTGCTGTCCTAATGTAATAGAGCAGTGTTGTCCAATATAACTTCCAAAGATAATGAAAATGTTTTGTACCTCTACTGTCCCATATAGTAGCCACTAGCCACATGTGGCTACTGAGCACTTGAAATGTGGCTAGTATGACTGAGGAATTGAACTTAATTCTAATTTATATTTCACATTCACATTTCTATACTACCTCCTCAAAACATTGCTTCCTTCAACCACAACTACCTAAATAACTGCCAAAGAGCCCTTTGTAATATCTCTTCACCATTAAGGAGCACTTCTCCAAAAGCTGCTTCAAAGACAACATGTTTATCTTTCTAATTAACTACTCACTTATTTTAACAGCATATCTAATTTCAGGAAGATCAAAACAAGAACGGGAAAGGTCTATTAAAGTTTGTTTATTAAGGCAAACATATTAAAACAAACTTTTATATTTATTATAGCTTCGGAACTCCTACTTTTAACCAGCAACTACAGTGACTGGTAATTAGATTGCTAAATATAAGATGTAAAAACTAAAATATTGAAAGCAAGTTAACTTTATATCTCATCTATCAAGAATACTGTGCTCAATTCCGAATGCACAATTTTAGAAGAAAAACTGGTAAATGGAGTGCGTCCAGTAAGGTGACCCAAGATGGTGAAAATCCTGGAAGCCACATAACAATAAATGACTGGCAGAACTAAGGACATTTAATCTGAAAGAGGCCTTAGGAGACATGATAGCATTATCTGATGGCTGTTACATGGAAATAGGATCAGAATTTCTGTGTTGCAACGGAATGATGAATAGAATATAAAGCGGCAGATTTTAATACAACATTAATATCCTTTTGACAGCTACACAATATGGAAAGGGCTGCTTTGTGATCCAGTGAGCAACTTGCTATTGGAAATGTTAGGAAATGAATGCTTAATATTGAGGAAGAAATCCATGCATTAGGTGAGTGATTAGATTATAGAATCTCTAAAGTTTCTCCTAACTACAAATGTAAGCTACTTTGTTAAAACATTTTGAATACATGGTCCAAGTGAGAATGAAAAACATCTAAAATAGAAATTACCAATGAATAGTACTTACATATGTCCATACAGCAACACAGAAAGTAGCTCCACTAGCTAATACAGCATTACCATATTTGTCATGGAAATCAGGTGCACGTTTCTGGTGGCTCCGCCTTGCCATTGTTTGCTGAATGCTTCGAACTTAAAGAAAAAAAATACAGAAGCATATCTATCAAAAATCAGGAAAACAGAACGTACGTGATTGATATTGCCAATCAAGAAAGCCAAGGAAGTTAACTTTACAGTATTAATACAGTTCAAGAAAATGGTAAAACATATTTTAGCTAAAAGCAAAGCAACATACTTTGAAATGCATCAAAAATAAGATGAATATGATAAACCAAATACAGCAAAATGCTAACTACAGAATCTAAGTGGTGGGTATGCAGGTGTTCATCATACAATTCTTCCATCTTTTCTCTATGTTTCAAAGCTTTCATAATAAAATGTTGGAGGGAAAAAGCAAAGCAGCAGTGATGTCAGTAACATTCACTTCAAATTAGTATTTGTATAACCTTTGGAACTTGGTTCCTATTCATTAACTTCAACAGTTATGTCTTAAAATTTTCACTAAAGTTTACTCAACAATGCTCAACAACTTAAAATATACAAGGGCAAATAAACTCAAAATGTTCAAATTTAAGCACTCTGAATATTTATGACCTTAAAGTTATTTAAAAAAAAAAAAAAACCTCTAAAAATTAGGGCAATATTTATTTTTTAAAAAATTACTAGTGAATAAGGCACCATGCTAAAAGAAATGGGGCATATGTGTTACGATGCAGATCCTATCATCAGGTAACTTCCAGTCTAAATGAAGAGATCAAACACAGACAAAAAACATTGTAATACAAGGAAGTAAATTTTAGCTAAGCACTTTGAATGACAGGTATGATTTGGCTATGTAGATGTCGGAGAGGGGAATCTGAACAAAGGCAGAGGTAGAAAAGCCCAGTGTACTAGAAAACCAATTAAGTTTGGTAGATGGATAAGGCGTATAAACATGCAAAAAGGATTAAACTAGAAAGGATCATGGAGGGTCCTGAATACTAGGCCATTCTTTTTGGTCGGCAAGGGTAGCTGGTAAAAGTTTTTGAGCAGAATAACCAGATTATAACTGTGCTTTTACTATTATTATAGTGGAAAGGATATAAGGATTGTTTTGAAAAGGTCTCCTGGAGCTTCTTAGGAATGCTTGGCAAAGGACCAAGACTGGAAAATGTGTATTTCCAGCTGGTTTTTTTGTCTGGTTGGTTTTTTGCTTTCTCTCCAATCTAAGCAGGTCGTTATTGTTTTAAACAGGGCCTTAAAAGGTACTTTCACATTAAGTATGTAATGAAAAGCATGTTAGAGAAACAGCAATGTTGCCCATTCCCTGCTAGTACTTTAGAACATAATGGCTTCTATGTGACACAATGGGTTGAGGATAGTTATGGTTTCTTCTCATAACTGCTTTATACTGCTTTTGTTCTTACCTTTAAGTAGTGACACCTAGGATGAGGAAATTACAAACATTTCACAATATATTCTGTTCTAGAACAGTTTCAAAGTGAGTATCTGTTGAAGTCTACATTTAAAAAAAATTAAAAAACAAAAAAGTCATTTCCTGAGGTACAACAAAGGAGCTCTGATGGCGCAGTGGTTATTAAAGTGCGTGGCTGCTACATGAAAGGTTGGCGGTTCGAACCCACCAACCACTATGCAGGAGAAAGATGTGGCAGTCAGCTTCCCTAAAGGTTATAGCCTTGGAAACCCTATGGGGCAGTTCTACTCTGAACTATAGGGTCCCACATGAGTTGGAATCCACGTCACGGGCAATGGGTTTTTTTGTTTTTACAAAAGAGTAGAGTGAGGTTCAAAGAAGTTTAATCATTTGCACAAAGTGAAAGAAATAATAAAAATGCAGCTTTTGGAACATGAAAATCCAGACAGGTGACTATTTTTTGGTTATTTTCAAAGGTACTTAAGTGTTATAAACACAATCTAATAATACCCCCAATGACTCTGTAAAGTGGGGGTGGGGGGAAGATGGCTAAAAAGGTAATTGCTTAAGGTCACCTTGACTATAAAACGACTGCTCACGTTGCAAAAATAGTAATTACTAAAGGTCACCTTCAGTACAAATCAAGTACAGAAATGAGTTTGTTTTTTTCTCTCCAATCTAGTGCATTCTCAATAAATAATGCTGGTCTCAATTTTTCCCTGTACCTGTTTAATCTTTCGGTAAAAAAAAAAAAAATGAACATGATTGCTTTCTGGGCAGCTAATATTCAATTAATAACCCAAAAATAATTTCAAAGCTGCGGGACTACCATTCAGGTTGTCTGTCTCAATGAAACGAGGCTAAGAGCTAGATTGTTTCCTTGCGTTACGGCTACAGAAATTTGGGAGGAGGTTCTATGTGGGGTTAGGCGAAAATGTACTACCATAGCTAAAATTCAGAAAATCACTTAAGAAACGAGAAGTATCCACCAAGAATGTCCTTTTCTGAACCGCAGGCAGGACTAGGCTATGACTCTCTCCAGTAAGAGGGCTGGGAACCATTGCAAAAACGAGGTTATAAGGCCAATGCTAAGGACATCGTCCCAATGGCTTGGGGGGAGAGGAGAAACACAGGTGAGAGGACAAAGCATTTTAGAATTAGAAAGCAAGAATGTTGGTGGACGGAAAGGGCACGAGAAACCACGAGGACGAATGAATATAAGGCTGCTGAAAATGATTTGCGCACAATTTCTGCTCACCTTGAAGACGACTTAGTGCGTTTTTGGCCACGGGAAACATCGTTTAGAAGTAAATGGAATTGCGGCAACTGCAGCTGCTGGCTAGTTGCAATCGCGTCCGGTACCCTTGCAAAGAGCTCTGAAAAACAAAATGGCTTTCAGAAGGGCTCCTAAAGAGGTTTGATGAAATCTCGCGATATCTGGGAAGGAAAAAAAAAAAAAAAAGAGAGAGAGAGAAAAAAACTCTATTCAAATTGTTATTCTCTTTACCGCGAGGAAAGATAAAGGGCTTTTGGGAAATGTAGTTTCAGACTTTGTAAATGATGCTTGATGGTGTTTAATAAATGAGAGAACCACTTGAAGGCAAGTTTAGGACTCTCTGGAGAAGAGCTGAGACACTGGCCTTAACTTAGGCTGAGTAGGCTAAGGCACTATCTTCAAGATAGTGTTAAAGTTCCAGAAGTTTGGGTTTTTATCTTGCTCCACACTAGCTAATTCTTTCTCTCCGCTCCTAAAACTTCCTTTACTTCTTTAATTTTTACCTCCTTTTACTATATACTAGTTCCTGGATGGCGTTGTGGTTAAGTGCTACGGCTGCTAACCAAACGGTCGACAGTTTGAATCTACCATGCGCTCCTTGGAAACTCTATGGAGCAGTTCCACTCTGTCCTATACGGTCGCTAATGAGTCTGGAATCCACTGGAACACAACGGGTTTTTTCAGTCCCCGGTTGGAGTTCCTGGCTTGTGCAAATTGTTAAGCGCTTCAGGAATGGTTGGCAGTTGGAACCCACTCAGAAGTGCGTTAGAAAAAAGGCCTGGTAATCTGCATCCAGAAGGTCATAGCCTTGAAAACTGTGTGGAGCACAGTTCTACTCTGACATACATGAGGTCACCATTAGTCAGAATCGACTCTACAACAACTTGTAAGTCCCTGGGTGGTGCAAACAGTTAACACTCTTGACCACTAACTGAAAGGTTGGAGGTTCCAGTCTACTTAGAGGTCACCTTGGAAGAAAGGCCTGGCAATATACAACCAGAAAATTAGCCACTGAAAACCTTTTGGATCACTAACTAGAGAACAGACACGCGTTAACTTTGGTGAAGGGAAAGGCAGTATGCAAAGTCAGCACAACATGACCAAGACAAGGGAAGACACTGAGAGGTATGCAAGAGTAAAAGACAATGACGGTAAATACCATAACATATACAATCCTGCAACAATAGTAATAACAAACAATAATTTATGAGTGGATACATAGGTAGATACGTATGCTGAATAGGTGTGGGCGGGCATGTGGGAGTACACCCACGTGCATATGTGGGTTTGGCTGTGGATATTTCTACATACATATTTGTATGTGCAGCATGTCTATTCATATATATAATAGAGCATGCAGGAGGCACAGTTACGGAAACATTCTAGACATAACCAAATGCCTCCCAGGATTGAGTTACTGGGCTTGAAGATTAAGGACCGTAGTCTCGGGGGACATCTAGGTCAATTGGTGTAACATAGTTCATAAAGACAATGTTCTACATCCTACTTTGGTGAGTAACATCTAGGGTCTTAAAAACTCAAGAGTGGCCATCTAAGATACAATTATTGGTCTCTTTCCATCGGAACAAAGGAGAGTGAAGAAAACCAAAGACTCCAGGAAAAAATTAGTCCAAAGGACTTGGACCACAGGAACCACCGCCTCCACTAGCCTGAGCCCAGAAGAACTAGATGGTGCCCAGCTACTACTACCAACTGCTCTGACCAGGATCACAATAGAAAGTTCTGGTTAGAGTGGGAGTAAAAAAGTAGAACAAAATTTAAATTCATAAAAAAGACAAGATTTACTGTTCCGAGAGAGACTGGAGGAACTCCCAAGACTATGACCCTTAGACACCCTTCTAACTTGGAACTGAAACCATTCCCTGAGATCATCATTCAGCCAAATAATAGACAGGCATATAAAATAAACAATAACACCCGTGAGGAAAGTGCTCCTTGGAACAATCATCTACATGAGACCAAAAGGGCAACATCTGCCCAAAAGCAAAGATGAGAAAGCAGAAAGGGGCAGGAAAACTGGATGAATGGAAATGGGGAACTCAGGCGGTAATGGGGAGAGGCTGACAGATTTCGAGGATTGCAATTAATCTCACAGAAGAATTTGTTCATAAACTATTGAATGGGAAACTAATTTGCTCTGTAAATCTTCACCTAAAGCACAATTAAAACAAAATGTAGAAAAATTAGGAAAACAAAAACAAAACACTTTGGAGCACAGTTCTACTCTGACACACAGGAGGTCGTCATGAGATGTAATCGACTCAACAGCAACTGGTTTTTATTGTACTGTAAGGAAAATTTTTATCTTTTGCCTTATTTGTTTATTACCAATGTGCATTCATGGCGCTTTTTTTTTTTTTTTTTTAAATTGTACTTTAGATGAATGTTTACAGAACAAACTAGTTTCTCATCAAACAGTTAATACATATATTGTTTTATGACATTGGTTAACAACCCCATGATATGTCAACACTCTCCCTTCTTGACCTTGGGTTCCCTATTACCAGCTTTCCTGTCCCCTCCTGCTGTCTAGTCCTTGTCCCTGGGCTGTTGTACCCCTTTAGTCTCGTTTTGTTTTATGGGGCTGTCGAATCTTTGGCTGAAGGGTGAACCTCGGGAGTGACTTCATTACTGAGCTAAAAAGGTGTTCAGGGGCCATATCTCGGGGTTTCTCCAGTCTCTGTCAGGCCAGTAAGTCTGGACTTTTTTTGTGAGTTAGAATTTTGTTCTACATTTTTCTCCAGCTCTGTCTGGGACCCTCTATTGTGATCCCAGTCAGAGCAGTCAGTGGTGGTGGTAGCCAGGCATCATCTAGTTGTACTGGACTCAGTCTGGTGGAGGCCGTGGTAAATGTGGTCCATTAGTCCTTTGGACTAATCTTTCCCTTGTATCTTTAGTTTTCTTCATTCTCACTTGCTCCCGAAGGGGTGAGACCAATGGAGTATCTTAGATGGCTGCTCACAGGCTTTTAAGACCTCAGATGCTACTCACCAAGCTAGAACATAGAACATTTGCTTTATAAACTATGTTATGCGAATTGAGCTGGATGTTCCCCGGAACCATGGTCCCCACAGACCTCAGCCCAGCAATTCAGTCCCTCAGGGAGTTTGGATGTGTCTATGGAGGTTACATGACCTTGCCTTGTATAAGTTGTCCTGGCTTCCCCAGTACTGTATACTGTCTTAGCCTTGACCAAAGTTACCACATATCTATTGTCTGTTTAGTGTTTTTTCTGTCCCCACCTCTTCCCTCCCTCGTAACCATCAAAGACTGTTTCTTTTTGTGTGTAAACTTTTTCATGAGTTTTTACAGTAGTGGTCTCACACAACATTTGTCCTTTTATAATTGACTTATTTCACTCAGCATAATGTCATGGCACTTATTTTATTCAATGGGTTATAATCCATTATTGTCATTATTTATCTTAATGATCATATTGTCCCAGATGTGGTCAGTGGGATTCCTTTCAAGATAGTTTCTATGTCCTTTTGATATGTCTCCATCATTTTTCTGTGTACTTCTTTACTTTCTGGTACAAGATATTCAAAGTTCATCTTGTAATTTCCCTGCCCCAGCCCTGGAATCAGACATTTCTCTAAGAAGCTCTAATTTATTTTAGTGGAGATGGCATTTAACAACCTAGATCTGGGTACTAGGCATGCTCATTGTTATTTGGAGGTCATTACTTCTAGTCCTTTCAGTAAATAAAGATAGCAATAAATATTAGAAAAGATAAATTTGTACTGATACCTCCAATTCCAGTCCAACCCTAGAAAATTTTCCCTTACTTTCTGTCATTTCATATTTGTATCTCCCTTTTTCCACAGTGATAATTCTGGCTCCCAACAACATCAATGCTTTTTATGTATTATGTTACACACAATATATTTTCAGAATTGTTATACCCATATCACTATGAAAAACAAACCTACTCCAAGGCCCAGTTGATCTCTACTCATATGGAGCACAGAGGAAGAACGAGAGTCAAGAATAGGAGGAGATGATGGTACGTGTGGCTAATTTTCTGCATGAATGACTGCCACCTTTGCCATGAGACCAGAAGAACTAGATGGTGCCTGGCTACCATTACTGAACATTTTGATCAAGAATTCTATAGAGGAATCCTGATCAAAAGGGGGTAAATGCAGAACAGACTCTCAAATTCTCATGGACTCTAGGCTTTCTGAGGCCATGGAGGCTGGATGAACCCCTGAAACTATTGCCCTGAGATAATCTTTAAACCTTAAACCAAAAATATCCCCAAAATTCTTCTTAAAACAAAACAATAGTTTAGCTAAACTAGTAAAGAATGTCTGCCTTGAGCATTGTGCCCTTTTAAGATCTATCTGTTGCTAATCAAAATGTCAGTAGTTCGAATCCACCAGCCGCTCTATGGAAACCCTATGAGGCAGTTCTATTCTGTTCTGTAAGATCGATATGAGTTGGAATTGACTCGATGACAACTTTTTTTTTTTTTAATGGGATCAAACTGACAACAGCAATATGAAAGAGTAGATAGAAAACTTATGGAACAGTGAATTTATGATAACGAGGGAGGAACAATTTAGAAAAGGAGGATGAGAATGGTTGCACAACTTGAAGAATGCAATCAGTGTCACTAAAATGGTACATATAGAAACAGTTGAATTGATGTATGTTTTGCTGTGTATATTCTCAACAACGTCAACAAAATCAATAAAAAAAATTTTAAAAACTACTAAACAGTAAATTCAAGATTAGCTTGCAGTTTTTTTTTCTTTAGACTAAGGGTATATAGTCAAAGTAGTGCATTGATAAGTTATTTAGATTAGTTCTTTTTTCCTTAGTGTGTTTATGATTTTCATTTGAAATAGAGTTGGACTCCCTTTTTTCTATGTGTTCAATCTTAATTTTTTCTCATTCTTTCTGATTTAATTACATATTTTGAATATTAAAAACATTAACATTATTCCAAAAGTCAAAACTATGCAAACTGGTGTACTGAGAGAAGCGTCACTCTCTCCTCCATACGTTTCACTTCATTTTCCCCGTCTCCCGTAGGTAACCAGTTTCATTAGTTTCTGGTTCATCCTTTCTGTGTTTCCTTTTACAAAAATGGGTAAATACGCGTATAGTT